GGTCGCGTTATGTTCCTTCCGGAAACACCATGCTCTCATGATTACTGCTATCTGGGCCTGCCTCTTCACACCACCGGTTCGTTTTTGGTTTTACTTGGTTCTGCTATTGAAAACGAAGTACGTAGATTCGTAGTGGGGCACTGAAAATGTTAAGACAAAGACAGTTCTCCTAAGGGTTGAGAATTTTTTTTTTTTTTTTTTTTTTTTTTTTTTTTTTTTTTTTTTTTTTTTTTTTTTTTTTTTTTTTTTTTTTTTTTTTTTTTTTTTTGTTTTGTCCGTTTTTAGTCTCACATTATAGATGGGCAATGGTTTGTTCATGGGCTGACTTTACCAGCCAACTTGGCAGAAGTGGACAGCTATTTATACAAGAAGCAAAGAGCTCGCTTTGATAATCTTGTCAAGAATGGGAAACACCGTGTGAATACAACGGTGATCATTGACACGGATAGAGCCAAGAATATACAGGTAGCAGTGGTTGAATATTCGGCTTGTGTTACGAATGCCTATCAACTAATTGATGATTGCAGATCGAATCCACTGCCGAAATGATTTGGCCTCGTCTGTTAACGCGGAATTCGGTGCATTTCCCATTAACTGCACTTGGCAATTTTACGGTGTGTAAATGCAGCTACATTTACTTTAGGAATGATTATTTCACAGCAAGACTTTCGTTTCAATTTTTGATTTCAGATAGTGAATCTCACCTTGGCGAATCCGACATCGGTTCCTATAGCAGTACAAGTCATTCCGCTAGTGATTTATCCAGATGCTGACGCTGTAGTAGAGTTTTTTCGCGAGCACCTTATCACACCGCTTACTTCTGAGGTGGAAATGAACGAAACACTAATGTTTTCCTTACGCGATACTGAGCTGTTCACTCTAAAGCCTGATAGCCCCGTACCAAGATTACGGGAGGAACTCGAAGCTGCCATACCACAGACTGTTCCAAGGTGGGGTTTTTTAATTGGAATTTTTAATTATTTTCGAGAGTGCAGAATTTACGAAGCTATTTTTAGGTTCACTTTGTCACTGCTGTTAAAACCTCACATGAAGGTCCGCTTACGACTAGGTTTTCTGCCATCGGACTACACTCTTCGATCATCTCTGTTACTCATTAGGTTTGCGTTAACCTCCAGCTTGAGTTAGAACTATTTCGATTTTGAATCCTATTCCATTTTCAATTATCATTTAGTCTCCTTCGTAACAAGAAAGTCTCATTTACTTTAATTGAGCTAATTCATTCTTAAGGAACAATTTGACGGTGATTGAACCCGTTGTGGTGTATGGCAGAGGGGCACGAATCGGTATGCGTGTGGAAAATATGGAAGCACGCTCAAAACAACCTCTACTTTTTGAAATTCGTCATGATCATCTGAGCGACTGTAACAATCCCAAACGTGAGTACGAATTCTTTCACGTTAACAGGCTCTTACAAACGCATACTCATGTGCAGTAGCCAAAAGTCCTTGACGAAACATTTTTTTCGGCTGTACTTTCTTTATTAGTCGAAGCAAACTTTCGATGTGTTGAGCCTCAACACACGTGTTGCAAACCTTTCACTAATTTTGACTGCAAGGCGTGCATTTGCATATTGTTTGTATTACTCCTTTAACTTTGCTTGATTAAAAGGTGAGCGTTACCCGTATGTGTCAGAAAAGTTGCTAGTTTGAATAATTGCTTTTCGTTCAGTATTACTACTGTTACACTTAGAAAATGACTAGAAGAGCAGGAGTCCTTCAAGTTTCTGTGAGGCAGTCGTGAACATGAAGCGAATTTGTCATAAAATTCACGGCTAGTTGAAGGAAATTCGAGTCCACACATTGTATGATCTTCTCGATTCTACATTGACATGTAAATTCTGTGAGAGGATGCGAAGAGCTCCCAGCTAGTTTGGTACACGGGTTTGTGTTACGGTTTTGCACCCGTCGAAGATCTTAGACCTTGGATGTTATTTATGAACTGAGCGTTCCTGTTGTGAGTGGATGGAATTGCCTCATTTCTTTACTTTCATTAACGAGCTAACCATAAGATTTCCATTCTGATCGTGATCAGTCATGTTTTGATGTTGAACGAGACTGATGACGTCCTTTCGGAGCATATGACAGAGCGTCTGAAGCAAGTCTTACATTTCAGGTTTGATGCATAAACTCAGTTCTACACTCACAGTTCGTCGTCCGTTTTCGGTGATGAACTCAGGAGAGGTGCCGTTTACTGTGGTTAACATGAGTATCAACGGTGTGCCCTGTGAAAACCGTGGTTTTCGCATCCTCAACTGCTATCCGTTTCGTCTCCAACCGAATGAGACCTATTCTCTTGATGTCGCGTATGTTTACACAAATTCACGAATTCTTTCACAATCACAGAATTGAAGCTTTTTAATTTCTTTGGCTTTCCAGATACACACCAGACTTTCTGACTACTACAAATGAGGCGGATCTTCAGCTTTACATGCATATGAATGGCAGCTCATGGTTATTCCCGTTGGCGGCAACAGTTCCTGAGGATATGTTGGCTAGATGTCATCGAGCCCTACCACGTCCTCCATTCGAAAATCTTATGTACTACAGCTGTGTGACCGCTCATTGGTGTAGGGTTTTATTTATTTTTCTTTGTGTGCGATGGTTTGGTACACAGCACCCAGAAAAGCTTAAATTTTGGCTAGGTCTAGGAGAGAGGAAGGGGAACGTGTGTGTGGAACAATTCTGACAAAATGGGAAACTGTGGCCGTAAAGGGCGAAACTTCCGCTTTCCACCCCTTTCCTTGCGTGGGCTTAAATCTTAATCTCCAAGCTCACTATTGTTTTACAGCAAAAAAAAACGAAGAAATGACGTAGGGGTAAAGTCATAGCACCTTATAAGTTTAAGGACCTTGTTTGAGATTTTATCAACCGTAATCTGCATCAATCGTTGGAAGAGTAGTCGTTCTTTGTATTTTTTCACGGCACACGACTCTTTTAGTTTCTGCTTGGTTTGTGTATTGGCGTGCGCATATTTGGAAGGTGATAGAGCTATTGCTTGTGCAATTCGACAACACCACTCCACACCTCGGACGGTCTTCGATTTGAACAACTTGGACGGTAAAAGGAATGGAAGCACGTCTTCTGCACAAGGCAGCAGTCACAGTGGCAACGGGAAGAGCACAGGTACGGTACTCCGATCGGCTCTGCTCCTCCCTATTTCCTCATGCGTTAGGCTGAACTATATTTCCAGCGTTCTGATGGAACGAGCTTTACTCTGGTCTACATGTAGCGGCTGATGCCTCGATGGTCTTACGAATCTTCTACCAAGCAGCCAACTCGGTATTGAGAGCGGTGCACTTCGTGTGGCGACTTTCGTTGCTTTATAGAAACGACAAGCAAGATCAACCCAAGAAGGAGAACAAGGTATTGAATAATTTTCTAGTAAGGGATGTTACAGCGAGTTTTTTTAGCGATGAAATCATTTGCTTTTATTTGAATAACTTGAGAAGGTCCCAATTCATGTTACATTCATCCTGAGATTCTTGTTGAACGCAAAATTTTCTTTCAAAGATAAGGGGAGGAGGGTAAGGTAGAAGCAATAAAGGCTGAGAGAGGGTGTGTATTTTTCTACTTAGGCGATCTTTGCAGCGCATAATGTTGTAGCTAGTGGAGTCAAATTCTAGTTGTTTTACCAATTATTTTTTGCGACAACCATATGCTTGTTCTCAACGGGTGTCGTTTCTCTCCCCGCGATTATGATTAATTTTTTGCATATAACGATCACATCATCTTTAATAAAAATGTTGGAAATTTGGCAAAGATAGTCAATCGGGTTTTCATAAATTTGGGGCCAGTCGGATGGCTTAGCTCTTTTTTCTACTTCCCGCGCACCCTTAGCGAGTGCCTTCCTTTAGGTTAGGCAAAACAGCCTACTAAGGACAGGTCGGGGTAGCAACGCCTAAGCGTGATCAGAATGTTTTTTTTTAGATAGTTAATACGGGAACGAAAAAATTGTGACAGTTGATCATATTCAGATGTTAAAAAGCGCTGATCGTGTAGAGGGAAAGCACTATGGGACTGGGAAGACACGACGAAGCAGAGTACTGACTGGTGATGCAGCAACTCCACTTACATAAATGAACCTCTGGGCCACCTTCAAAGAATAAAGGGTCAACTTCTATCACCAAGTGTCAGAGCTAACGCGTGCGATTAATTTAGCGTTTTGTGTGCGTAGTGCGCGTTCTTGAATGAGCCCTCAGAGCACATAAAGCATTTGTGGTAACACTGCGTCTTTGAAGCGAAAGAAGACAGCTTGCGGAAGCTTCGCTCGAGATATCCAGTCCCGTTTTATATAGCCGTTATGGGTATTATCACAAACATGACACGTTAGAATAATACCTCAACGTTGGATCAAACCTCACTCTCGAAAGCGGCCCTTCTCCTGCCCTCCCCTCCAGCTGCCACTGCAGTATGTGAAGCTCAGTGTGCTCGATCAGTGTTTTTATAGCTGTTGAGGGGTTGTCATAATCATGGCATCAACATCACGAAGTCATAGCCCTTCAAGCTCCCCGGTTCTGTTAGCGGTTGGTCCGGACGGACAGAACGACAACCACACTAACATACACATCGACAAACCAACACTCCAAAGTTGTGGTTCATGTGATGAAGTGATACTGCACGATCTCATTAAAAAGTCGCGAATGCATTTGAACGGTTTTTTATTCCGAAAATGACCTGTGATGCTGGAATTAGCGTTATGCTCTTTCAGATTAGTCTGATGTTATTTAACAATTTCCAATGTGATGAGTATTTTGGTCGAAGTTGGCGAGTTCTGGTCAGTAGAAGCGCGGAGCGACCCTTCAAACTATATATTTTTGGGTGTGCAATGTGTCGGAATGCAGTATCACCTCGTTAAATATTTCACCTGTGACATGTGTGAATGTAGTGTATTGGGATCTGGTTTCGAGTTTTACCTTCATTTTTCAGAGAAAAAAGAAAGCGCAAGTGTCCATTATACACTCCAAAGTGAAAGACATGAAAGAAAAGGACAAAGATGGCATCAAAGAAAAGTCGGATCTTCAAGCACCGATCAGTGTTAAACGTATGTTTCACAGTTATTTGATCATTTCAGTGATGAAGAAGTGAAAATTTATTTTAAGCCACAAAAGCGAAGCATGCCACTCAACAACAACAACAACAACAACAACAAACGTCAACTAGTGGTAAAAAGGTGCAGCCTGTGGCTCCAATGCACAAACTGAGGTTTTTAAAAATTAGCTTAAGAAAGTTTCATTTCATCTGCTCTTTGAATGATGTGTATTTCTTCCTCTTTTCGTTTTTTAGTGCGAAGCTATCAATGTCTCCAAAGGCACCTACCAATCAGCGAAAGAAAAGCGGAGGATTCACTGAAGCTGATCGGCGACTGGCACGTGCCCAACAGCTCATGGATGCCGACCTGGAACGGCACCCCATTTTGACATCCGAGACAACTCCGCCCATGTCCACGTCAGATAGCTCGAGCGTAAATGTTCAACCTTCTGTTCGGCCCGTTGCAGCGAAGCGCGAGGAGAAACGGCGCGAAAGTGGTGAAAGGAATGGTACGCTGTTTGGATTCTTTCTCGAGAGTACTGTGGTCATTGTCCTTTTTTTTCAGAGCATGTTCATCAATTACCACAGCCTGTTCCTGTCGCTCCTGTACAACAGAGAAGATCCACGTCGCCGAAGGAAACGGATTCAATGGCGGCCCCTCCATCTCCATCCACCCCAACGACTGCGACCTCCGTTTTTTCTGCTTCGTATAATCCATCCACATCGAGCACCATGACCACATCTATGCCTATGTCGCGGCCATCCGTCATTCCTGTATCCGCTGTTCATCCGACGGTTTACCCAACAGCGATCACCGGAACTGAGCCCATTCCTATACCAGTTATGCTGCCTGTGATTCCAACTCTAATACCCGGTCTAACGTTACCCATCGGTGGAATGGATATGACAAATGTTTCTCTGGGAGCACTGGCTGAGTACTATGGTCAAATCAGTGCCTATGACGACTCAAATATGCCAGCCACCCCCACACCATCACTGGCCTCCAGCGTTGGGACCGATCGAACGGTAATTTGCAATATATGACATTTGTGTTAGAGTAGATATAGAATACTGATATTCGTTGATTGAAACTTGTTCTCTCAGGGTGGGCTACGAGAAATGAATACTCCTGAGTTTGCCCGTTCTCGACGTCACAGCGAAAGTGAGCAGAGTGTTGCGAGTGAGCTAAGTGCCGCTCCTGACTGGCTCGATGAAGTTGTGGGACCAGGTTTGTTAAATTACTGTGAATTTTCCAACGTGGGATATGTAAATTTTGGTCGAGAAATGGTCGAGAAAAAGTAGCTGTGTTGGGTATTATTCAGGGGGGGGGAAATAGTGCAGGGATTCCAGCCAAACAGGGAAGTCGATGTAGAAGTGGTCATTTGTGTTGTGATAAATGCTGGTTGGCGATTGAGCTCTTGATTGCAAATTCGCCTTCCTTACCTGCCAATCGCTACTACGAACAAAGTCATGGAGCTCTTCACGTTTGTCAAATGGTCTAGTAATTATTAGGTTGAGTCATAAATAAGTGCCGATTTCTCCATACCTACGCCATCTTTTCCAAATCCAAGAATGTTTACGTAGTTTCCAACAATGATCTATGTGGCGACCTTGAAATCCTTTCGTATTGTAAAATTTCACCTTCAATGCTTGTCTGGGCAGAAATAATGCCGTTCAACTCGTATTTAGTGCTCACATTCTATTGTACGAGTTCAGTCTGGGGCACACAGTGAGAGAAGACTGTCGGATTCTGTGCAGCGAAGAACCAGACACGTAAAAGAGGATATGCCGATATGATTCGAGAAGTTGCGCCAGGGCGACTATAGTTCTGATGGCAAATCGCACCTAAACTTCTTGGAGCAACCAGTGCGCCGGTGCCTATTGAATTACAGCGGACTTGCAGTCTTGCTAAAGCACCGTGAGTCTTGCCCTCAAAGCAACTACAAGCTTGTACATGTCGAGAAAATGGACTTCACGTGGGTTGGATAAGGTTTTTCGG